TCATTATTAAACACCAGACTCCCATCGTGCCAAGTGTGTTACCAACCTTAAGAAATCTTTCATGACACAGTGGCTACACATCTGCTATTTAAAGTACATTCAATGGATTTTTTTACCTTGCCTTTACTGGCTCTGTTGACCTCACTGTGGGGTAGAAGTGCCACATGTACAGGAAGTGAAACCATGGTGACCGAGCGCTATGTCATCATGGGTGACGCTGGTGCTCCTGAAGCTTTCGTCCACAAATATCCTCCATGAGGCTATAGCTGCCATTAGAGACAGAGACTGCATCTGCATTTGGTCCTGTTGAAGTAACTAGTCATTTGTATGAAATAGATTTAGACATTATGAAGACAAAATCTGAAACAATCATCTCACTGTCCATTAATCGTCTTTTTAATAGAAGACAAGACAAGACAAGAACAATCCGAAATGTTATAGCCATTGAAATAACAAAACAGGTTCTTGCTGCAATTATGAAGTTTTTTGTTCAACAATAGTAACGTTGATAAACATATAGATACTAATACTTAATAAAAAGTTACTTCTGAAAGTTTAGCCTTCATGAGTGTTACATATTGTGTAAATGAAGTGGCATATTTATTTATGGTACGTATGTATACACTTATGCACGGTTGTAATATGTTTTATTTGAAATTGTCATGTTATTGTAAAGATTTATGTTCAGAGTTATTTGTATTAAAATGTGAAAATAAACACATTTTTGAGCAAATAACCCTGTAGTATCATCTATATTAAGTATTTTTTCAGGAATACATATATTTAAAACAGTCCTTTCCATTGAAATAGACATCACCAGATTTACTGGAGGAGAATAGTTAGACCAATAGTGACGGGCCTCAGCTGTTTATCAAGGATTTGAATTCAATGTGGCCAATCAGGAACCTGTGGAGGCGGGTCCAACTACTGCTTGCATTCAAAATTCGCCATCTTCACAATTTGAGGACAATAAATTGAATTGTTTGTCTGACAAATCGCCACATGTTGCACCACTTGATTTTGATTTTGATAATGAACTTGGGCGAAATAAGTGACAAAATTCAAAATAACTCTTTTGGCTCGTAAAATGTTGTGTATAAAATTGTTCTTGTTGACTAATGGTCGAAGACATTTTACATTTAATCTTTTCCAGTAATTCAACAAAAACACCAGCTTTATTGAGGTCTAAAATAACATTGCAAACCACTACAGAGCCAGGAGATATAAGCAGGACAAAACCGGAATAAACTCACCAATAAGAGAAGGTTTTGGTGATGCTTGGATAATAGCATGGATTATATACTGTACCTAACTTTTAACATTTATCTATGTAATCAAATCCATATAACTACTTCCTCGCAGCCATAACAGATTTGTTCCATCACTAGTTTTCTCGTGCATGTATTTTCGGTCCCTGACAAATATTTTAATCAGCTTTTTAGGACCGAAAAGTGAAAAGAAGAGAGGACCACGCTGTTTTCACGATGATGACAGCAGGTTGTGTTCTGACTTGTTCCCGTTCTGTTGTGATGTATTATTTAAGAAAAGGGAACCAGCTCCTGCGTCGCTACAGTGTTGTTTTATGGTGCACTGGTCGAGTGGATGCACAGTTTGGCTCAGTGATTCTGACGTGAATCCCTCTGCCTCGCCATGGTTACCACGGTGACCTTCTGACTGACTCTGGGCCTAATGTGCGTCATAGGCCCAGACTCGCTGCTCTTGTTTTCCATTAGAGCTTAATTCCTGTGAGGCAATCGTCGGCCTCTGACTCCAAACGGCTGGAACAGGTGAAGGATTGATAACAGCTTAAGCACTTTTCTTTATCATCTTTAACCATTTTCAACAAAGCGACTAACTGGATCGACTAGTTTGACTGAATATACCTGCGCAGCAAAGATGACAAGCCTAGAAACTGTTTTGGCATTCTAATCAATCCATTAACTTTATGTTTAGAGCCTCTTACAACACAGAAAGTGCTTTACAATAGAATAAGGCATAATAAACAATCATAATATTCATAAAAATACATTCAAGATTCAACTTTAAACCACATTATGTGCCATAAAATTAAGCTTTCAATTCAAATATATTTTGTCATACACTGGAAAAACAGTATCATATAGCTGCAGTACTTTATATTGAACTTAAAGGAGTAGTTTTCTGCTATTTTTGTCCCACAGAAGTAGCTATCCGTGGGGAAATAGTTGGAGACCCCTAATCCATAGTTACCTGGCCTGACAGCTGCACTAAAGAGAATTGCCCCCTGATGGAAGCCCCCTCACTCACTGTCTCAAATCTATATTGTTTACTTGGAATTATCAGCGGCATACAATCATAATGCAAATTAAAGCTCTATCAATCTTTGGGTCAAAATGTGTTGCTTTCTTTCTATTGTGGAAGTGTGTGATTTTTGTTTTTTTGGTGCAAAAAATAGAAACAACATTTGTAACAAAAATTAAATGAAATTTGAATCAACATTTGTAATTGAGCTTGGACCAGGCATACAATATTAAGAAGTGCTAACCCAAACTGCCACAGTGGTTGGAGGATGACTCATTTCAAATGTAGAACCCGGTATAGATGTGAAGTCCCAACATTAACCACTCAATTCAACAGTTTTATTTCTGTCTGACACATTGTGAGTGGTTTATGTGATGGTCTCGCTGTGGTCCGGGCTCGGCTCAAAGGCTGAGGTCAGAGACTCCCCCACAGGAACCCAGACGTCATGAGAGACGTCACATGGTCACAACGTGATTGTTGAAACTGGGCCAACAAAGGCCTTTTGTTCCAAAACTCCCAATTATAGGGTTAGGGTTAGTGATTAAGAGAATGTTCGAAGAAAACATTTGGTTGTGCAATTTTAGGAAATTATATGGTAGAAAAAAAACAAAATATCATTGTTTTTTCAATGGCCATTGTCAAATTACAGAATGGATAAATATTAAGTCTTTCCTGAACTTTGAAAACAAAACTTAATCTTGCAGCAACATTGTGTAACTTGTTGGAGGCGGTCGGGCACTAGAATTTATAGAAAGCTCAAAATAGAATGATTTTGGTCATGAAACCTTTATGACAAATAGTTTTAGAATTACAAAAATAGCATTTTCACAGTAAAAGGCACAATGTGTAAATGTTGTTTTATTACATGTATTTTGTGTGGTTTTATTTAGTACAGTGAACATATTAATCCAATCTTCTTTAATAACTGAATTCAAAGGCATGTCCTGTGACTGAGGACTGACACGATGGCCACGATGGCAAAGACTAACTTACTTTGTAGGATGATAAATTCTCTTTATAATATTGCTGAGCAGAGAAACCTGAAGCCAGTGCAGTGTATCCATGTATAGACGATTGCCGGGTCATCAGCACACCGCTAATCCGACTCTAAATAAAGAATATTTATGTGGTTCTGACCTACAGCGCGGAAGGGGTCAATTAAATATTTTAAGTTAAAGCTGTGTCGTTGTGTTAGAGTCACTTTGAAACTTCATTCAAATAATCACATTTCTTAATATAGATGCTAGCAAGTGAAACTACTGATGGGTTTTTCACTTTCAGGCAGCTGTGGTCAGGCCTTGTGTGGCAGGATGTGGCGTATTTCTCACTACTGTGTTTTTCGGGGGAGCTGATGCAAGCCTGCGTCAAGGCCTCAGTGACTTTTCTTCCTCTTTTTACAAAATGGAGGTCAGGTTACAAGGAAAGCTGAGTGGGCAATTCCAAGAGTTTCCTTTAAAAAACCCAGACCGGCTAATTTTCTCACAGAGCGGTCATACAAGCCGTCTCACAAACAACCTGTCTGTATACAAATAAACCGGTTTGTGTGCTCGGGAGAAAAGAGGCAAGATAACAAAAAACCTCTAGGGTCTGAAGATCAATTACATGCGAGAGGTTAATGTAGCCACTCAAAAGGCAAACAGAGCTACAGGCCTTTTGGTGGGTCAAAGCGTCCCGCGCCCCAGGACTTTAAAAACTACGAGAGGTCATTGTAATCAAAAAATCAAGACCCCAGGGAAGAGGGCGTGTCCCGCAAACTGCCAATTGTCTCCATTCCAGGTCAAAACAATCACAATAGAAAGCTCACCAGCACAGCCCTAAATGTGTGGGGAAGAGGAGATAGAAGCCTTTTCAGCCTATACACCATGAAACGTGAGAACTGTTATGCAATATTCTTAGAAAACACCCTGAAACAGTTAAATATTTTGGATAATTTGAGCGGCTTGCACCCTGGGGAAGGCCATGTTGGATTGAGACACATTGGATGCATAATATTCCAGAATCAAGGCTTTTTTTCATACTTGTAATGCCTCTGCTTTTTGTTTCTTTAGCAGAACTCACCCCTTATCATGTATGGTTTTGATTCCTACCATTGTGTTATGCAAAAGAAAACAAAAAACTACAAGAAACATAATGAAATGACAAACTGATGAAATGCAAAGCAGTTTTTTAATGCAACAATTAACAGACTACAAGGAGAGGCGATTGACAACAAGAAAAGGCTTTTTACATGCATACATACAAACAGAGACTCTGAATTCGAATACACAAATAAATAATGCTCTATCTTAAATCTTTATAAAGGATCTGTCCTGGTATATCAGCGCGACAATTTACAACACTGAGTCTGAGCATCGTCCGGGCGCTCCCTTCTCCCACGCGCCGCTATAGTAAATGGTACAGACCTGCTGTAGTAAAGGAGATTATGTGCTTAAATGTTAGCCTATAACCGCGAGCAGATTGAGTGGCTACATTGTTAACCACTGAACAATTTAGTATTGTGTGTAGAGAAGGGTGAATACACACTTTAAAAATGAATAAAAAGAGTTGGATTTAACCGTTTTTAAATGTTCTTTTTACTTGTTATGTAATGAGCAACTCTGAGTATCTAGAAAGGCACCTAAAAAATAAAAAAAGTGTATTATTATTATCATTATTATTAGACTTCTTCAGTTAAATCCAAGACTTTTAAGAGCGTAAATGCACTGGTTTTAGTTTGATTTTTAGACACTGATTAGCTGTGGGAAGAGTTCATTGGCAAACATGTCGTCCCAAGAGCTTTCCCCCAGAGTGGAGGACATGTCACTGAAGGGGGACGGGGAGCCTTCGTATCCAGAGTCGCTGTAGGTATCCGCTAATGATGCCTCTTTTTCGGGGTGACCGAGGGCCGGCGAGGAGGCAGCGGCGAGGAAGTCATCCGCAGGGTTGTTAACGGACGGAATTAGCACCTCCTCTGGCTCATCTTTGACGCACACCTCCTCCTCCTCCAGCCCCACGTCAGACACGGGGAAAACCTTTTCTTCTTTGTCGTCGTCGTCTTCGTCGTCGCTCTCCTCGGAGTCGTCTCGCTGCGCGTCGCTCAGTGCATCCACGGGCCTGGTGTAAATGTGGTCGAAGTGGATGAGTTCATTAAGGGCCTCCAGCTTAACTGATGTGGCCCCCAGAGCTGCAGATGCGGAGGGAGATACTGCGTCGGTCCCTCCGCCCAGCAGCACCGGCGTCTCCTCGCACTCCTGCTCACAAGACTTGAGGAACAGCTCTGGGTCAAGGATGTCCAGAATGCCCAAGAGCAGATCAGACTGTGGAGAGAAGGAGACCAGGATTAGCCCACTGACCCGTGACCCAAGGTAAAGAACTTCCCCGACTCAGGAAGGGGGCTCACTTCAGTGTCTGTAGAGTCAGAACCATCTGTATCCATTGAGACGTCTTCAGATTTAGAAACTGCTGGGCCTGCACCTGCTGCGGAGGCACACATAGCCTGAGTACTGCGGACTCAGAAGACCCGGTTCCCAAATCTGTTTCCCTAACATTGGATATCAGCACCGGCATCTGTAGCGAACACAGAACAAAACATAAGTCAGCATTTATAAGCATGTTGGGATAGAATAGAGACAATAGTGAAAGGACATAGACAAACAAGCTTACATTTTGTTTTGAGTCAAGGGTATCCAACCCAAGTCTCTGTCTCAGTTCTGCATTTTCTGTAATTAGTCCTGTTGTTTTCTCACGTAATAGTCTGTTTTCAATGTGAAGTTTCTGGTTCTGCACAAAAACAAAAAACAATACTTTTCTCATTAATTCTGATGAGAAAAGTATACATTCAGGTAACAATGATTGACATGTATTACAAGGTAAATGCAATACATTCATATAGATCATTAGGTTAAGTAAGATGAATAAATGGTATTAGCCAAGGGCAAGTATTCATCAAAATTACCTCCAGCTCCATCTCTAAAACTTGTTGTTCCAGCTCTCCCATCTTGGCTTTTTTTCTGTCTCTGGCCGTCTGGGCTGCGACTCTGTTCTTGAGTTTCCTGGAAGCAGATAAAATGCGGACTTTAACACATTTTTTCCAAGCTGCTGTGACAGCGGGTTCGTGATAGTGCGTAATCACGGCCATGTTCCTGCCACGCAGGCAGAAGTGGATATCAGTGTCCTTCTCTGTTACAGCAGGGCGCAGGACCCCGGACTCTCGACTAACACACAGATAGCTCTGTGACTGGTTTAGGTTTAAAGTCCAATTACAATCATGCTTCACCCTTCTATGCGTCATTACGCCTTTACGCACACCAAATACACTACTACAAACAAGTAGATTTATTTCTACTACTACAAACCATTCACTACCATTGGGCGTGTCAGGCTAATCCCGAGGAACAATAGATTTAATGCAAAAGAGGTCAAGACGCATGAATGTTACTACAGGCTGATGATGACACTGACCTGCGCAGGGCCTTCTCCTCCGGGCTCAGGTGCGTGAGTCTCTGCCTCTTGCGCACGGGTGGTCCCACGGACGCGTTGGAGTCGGAGTCTGAGGACGCCTGGCTGGCTGCAGACGGGATGACCACAGAAATAGGCCGACTGAAGCCGTGCGAGCTGGCCGAGGAGCCAGTGTGTTTGCCGGAGATGAGCAGCACTTTGTGCGCGCCCCCGGTGCCTGCTGCCACCACAACCATGATCCCAAGTCCCTGTGCTGGTGTGTAACCAGGTGAAAATTAAAGATCCTTGTTTTGAGCAGAACCCACAGGGTTTCTCTGCTCTAATCCCAGCGAGACGTACTGACTGGAAGGGGCAGCGCCTCGTCTGTTTTACTGTCGTGGTCATATATGATTGGCTCCGCGGGCCTGTGACGCACTGAGCACCACAGTGCTGATTGGCCAAGCTGCTGATGAAATCTACGTTGAAAGTTTCATTTGTTTTAGTTGATGGTTTGTCTTCATCCGTTCTATGGTATATTCTAATCCTCTATAATTGATAATCTACTTGAACTATATATTGTTTCTATAGTAGTAGGAATGCTACTGGTTTAGTTTCTTTTCTAGACTGTGCCTCAGACGCATATAGATATAGATATAGATAGATTGTACGTGGCAGCCAGTTGCGTCACTTTTGGCTCAAATCTCAACTGCATTGTTCATTTTCATTTATGTATTTAGTGTCTTTATTTGTTTTTGTGTAACATGTTTTTGATTTGCTTTTTTTTTCTTATATTATTTTATATCAATAACAAATTAAAAATAATTGGTGCTACACTGTGTCCTTTCACTGCTACACTACAACATACATCAGTTTCATAATAAATACTGTTCATTGTTTTCATTGTGAGGATCTAATGTCTAACAAGTTTAACCAGTGACTTCCCTGAAAAGAATTAGCCAGCTTCCTTCTTCCTTACAGTAACGAAGCTCCAGCTATTGTGGGCTGAAGTAATGCATGGATATAGCTGTTACTAAAGAATACATTATGAATATGATGTGAATTTTCTTTATCATGTTTAACCTCACATTGTCTGCTACAGTTTTACTCATGAATTTTAAAACTTGACCCTGTAATTGTGCCCTTCTTGACAGAGCCAAGTTCATACAGGGGCTCTCCGGGAGCGTATTTGTCTGCAAACAAGAATTTATATTTGTACAGTATCCAGCTCCGTTAACTGCTAACAACCCACAAGCAAATAGGTTCTGTTTGCACATCCTACTGGAAATGTAAGCTCCTCTTTAAGCCAACGTCTGAGAAATCTGTTTTATTCTCACGTCTGCATGACGCTGTTGGAATTCACTTTTTTTTAGCCCGTTTTTCTGGGGACCCAGGGATCCATGTACACATGTTGTTACTCGGCTTGGCAAGGACTATTGTCACTGGAGGGGGAACCCGGAGCGCCTGCATGAAACCTACCAAGACATAGCTTAGACATAGCCTACACGTAGATGTACCTCCAAACGTTCATTAAATCATCCTTACGACTTGATTCAACAATGATACAACACATAACAGAAATGCAATTATAAATGTAGAATGTTACAGAGGGACTGCATTGTACTGAGGGACATATTTGAGAATTAGACAATTTCAACGATAAAACCAACTTGTATTTGTATGTTAATATCATCACGGCCAATGAGGAACAGACAAACGACCCTCATAAGACATCATTATTTTTGCATTTAGGCATTTGCAAAACCAGTTGTTTTGTTTAAATCAAAATGTTCAGTAAATAATATAATAACATGTTTTGACTCACTTTACATTACCACACAGTTCTAATTAATCTCCTTAATACAAAATTATACTTATCTTTCAAGCCAATATGCTAATTAAAAAATTTCATGGTCAAAACATGTTTTCAAACACCACTATTGACGTCATTTTAAGGGCCAAACTTTGGTAAACTTTTAGTATGTTATTAAGTTCATCTGATACTACTCCACTGAGAAACTTTTTGTTAGAATTGTTTTAGGGTTGGGTGGTTTATTGTCATAAATGCACCAGATGCTCAATTATGATGTTGTTATGTATGGATTTATTCAATGAGAAATTTGTTTTATTCCAGCAAACATGTATCCTTCATTTATAGCTCAGGATCAGTCCGACCCGTCGATTGATACTATTATCATTTCCTTCATAATCTTGGGAGGACTCTCCAGTATTTTCTTTTCCATGTTTAGACTCTGTCTTAACTGGGTTGGTACAGTCTAACCAGTATGAAACCGGTTTCTGTGTCCTGAAAACTAGTTCTTCAAGGACTCTGCTGCAGGGAACTGACAGTATGTACTGTTAGATCAGGCATGTCCAAACTCAGGCCCGGGGGCCGAATGCGGCCCTCAGTGTCATTTTATGTGGCCCTCTGCCTCGCTAACCCACAGTAGTCTTTGAGATCATAAACACAAGTTCACTGTGTCATCCATCCAACTTCAGCTCAGCCAATATAGACTTGGTTCTAAAGCCCAGTATGTTGTTGACTTTATTTGCACAAACTGCACTCACATGGTTTTTAATAGTGTCAAAAACTTCCATTAATGGTTCTACTGTAGCTGGTGAGATGGTAAACATGTGTCATTCAGCCAACTTCAGCTCTGTTATAGATCTTTTTTTTAAAAGCCAAGAACAGCCCGATGCCAGTCAAGACAGTTTTTCAGTCCGTGATGTCGGCCCCTGGACTAGTCTGGTGAGCTAAAGTGGCCCTCTTACTAAAAAGTTTGGACACCCCTGTGTTAGATGATAGATAATTTATTTGTGACACACAACGTTAACAACACAGTTAGTATCATGTGAAATGAGTGAATGAAGAACCGTGAAACACCACACTTCTCTGCCAGGTCTTTGTCACACTGAACTCAAGTGTTTTGGCTTCAAGGCACAGTTAGATACTTTGTAAAGAAAAAAGAAGAAATTGTTCTTGGGATCTGCAACCAAATAACAATAGGGGCTGCATGATAGCGGAGTGGTTAGCACTCTCGCTTCTCTGTAAGAAGGTCCTGTTCAATCCTGCTCAGAACAAGGCTTTCTGAGACTCCTGGAGTTCATAAGGTTCATCTGGGTGCTTAACAATAGGCACAATAGGTACAATCCTCCACTTCAGATAGTCCTGACCAAGCCGACCATCCACATCTGGAGATGAGTTCCAGGGTGCTGCACTGGGGCGACCAAGGCTCCTGGTCCTAGTGGCAGGATGGCTCTCTGCACTGGGGCGACCAAGGCGAATTTGTGTTTGCACTGTAGACAAAATAAAACTCAAATACATGTGACTATGAATACTAATGTGTGTGTGTGTGCGTGTGTGTGAGTGTGTGTGGTTGTTTGAGTGTGTGCACATGTGTGTATATGGTAGAGACATGTATCTAGTGTATATTATTATGTATGTATAACTGTATGCATGTCTAACATTGTAGCCTCTTGACACTTGCGGTCCCAGCATGCTCAGGGTTCCCGGTGCGTGGTCCTTTTGGCTGCCCGTTGTCGAGGTGGTTGCGGCGTGGGCTCCTTATCTCCTTGTCTCTGTTCTCGTCTCTATTATCCTCCGCTATGCGTTCCTCTTTATTCTGTGCCCACCTGCCAGGCACAGGTGTCTCTGATTGGCAGGGCTCAGTGATTGGGTGAAAGGGTCATGTGATAACGTGAAGTGGCGAATAAATTAAAAGTTAAAATGCATAGCAAATAATATAAACAAATCACATAAAATAGCCACTTCTGCTGGATTACATAATTGCATCTTATCCTATTTTTTATGTTGACTCGGGCCTAACTTCATCCCCGCTTAGACCAGGAAAGTTGGTTATCAGCTATTTTTTTCTTCCTTCGGGATAAATGCACGCTGAAAAACTATCATAACTTAAAAAGAATGTGTTTCCTCTAAGTTTCAGAAGTAAATTTGAAAAAACAAATGACTGATGATAAAGCTGTCAATGCGCCAACGATTCTTCAACGAAACCCACTGAATTTGTCACTTTCTTTAACTGGAAGGCAAAAGTAAGTTGGTAATATGTTTGTCAATGGTGAGCCCTGGAGTTTTAAATAAAAATAGTTGAATACACAGACATGTTTTATGTTATTTTTATTTCAAATTTTTGGTAATGCTCGAGCGGGGAGTCAATTTTCCACTTCTGTTAAAGTCTTGAAGGTTTCTCAAGATCACAAAGTCAATAAGAACTGATAGAACTCAGGCCTGTGGAGCCAGATCCTCTCCAAAGCAACAAAACTTTACTAAACTATTATTGGAGCCATTAATAGCAATTCCTTTGCATTCCTAAGGGGCCTGTCATGACACCTAAGTACTCTTGGTTCCCTCAAACTGTTGCATTCAATCTGAAATACAGTTTCCTATTGCATGCAACACGTCACACTAACCATTCATCCCACACACAGTGGTGGTGAGCTACTAGCCACAGCTGCCCTGAGGCAGACTGCTCCAAGTGAGGCTGCCTGTCATCGGCCCCTCCTACCACCACCTATCATTCACACGCACAACATTCACACACGGCAAAGTGGGTGAAGTGTCTTGCCTAAGGACACAACGAGTTTATAGTCGCCCCACTGTAGCACCAAGTTTGTGTATCCCTTTCTTGGAACCCAAGGAATTAGCAGTCTCAAAACCATGATAATAAAGTTGAATTTGGAGAGCATATTTTCATTTTTAGAATCATTCATTTGATTTAAAATTGTTAACACAAATATTATTCAATAACTGCATACAAATATTTGTTACATCCAAAACGGCTGTCTTGGAGCGCAGTTAAAATGAATGTTGATAAATGTCCATTCATATTGTAGAATTTTAGAGTGTCCTGGATCATCACCATAGACTCTAACTGTCCCACAGACCCTCCTGCATCGGCAAGGAAAAACTCTAAAACCCAGTGGGAAAATGTGAGAAACCTCGAGGAAATCCATATTGAGAGAGGGATCCGCTCCCACGGATGGACGGGCTATAGATCCAGGAACGAGGACCAAGGCCACGCAGCTGCAGAGAGGTAGTACAGTTCTAAAAGTTCCAAAATTTAAATAAAATTCTGCAATAGGCACTTGAGAATATACTCCAGTAGTTTGGTTTCTTTGCACATAGTCGCACGCCTGGTACTATTCAACTGGCTCCACAATTTTAAATGTTTTGCAGAGTGCTGCAGAACTGGAATGTTGTCCTTTACAGAAGAAACAGACAAACATTGTCCAGACTTTTCAG